GTTGGTATGCCCAAATAAAGTCAATTTCACTACTGAGGTTGGCTCTGTGCCAAGTTGGTGCTGACATGTTGGAGTGTAAGGCTAGGTTGTATATATTGTTGTATGCTAGGTACTGAAGAAGTTTATATTTGATTGACTATGAGTGGATATTGTCAGTGGAGGCATTAAAGTCTCCTAGAGTTATAGAAAGAATGTTTTGCGCTTGGGCTTGTTACAGCCACTGGATTACTGTGTTTTGAACTTGTAGTCAGAGTTGGGCATCATTGCTAGAGAGATAGATGGAAATAATATGGAACTTGAAGTCATGTTTGAAGAAAAGGTTAATTGCAATTGCATGCCCTGCTACTGTGCTAATATGGTGGATGTGTGGAGCTAGGCTGTTTTGGATCATAATTGCAGTTCCTGCTCGGGAGCTATCTGTGCATGATTATAAGTAGGTATAGTGTTGGGTTTTGTCTCGTTTGTATCAAATTATTTCACTTGAAAGTTTGGTTTCTGTGATACTAATGATATCGAGGTTTTGTTGTAGGCAGTAATGTTCCCAGGATTCTTTTTTGGTATTGTTATTGAATCCTTGTACATTGTGTATGCAAATAGAGAGTGTTAGGGGGTGGAGAGATGTAGAGTTTATATTAGTACTCATTTAGTTAGTTTGTATCCATCAGTGCTATGTTGCTGCCCGGTGGGTTGGAGCTGGATGCTTAGTAGATGTGTTTGTAGTGTTTACTATTTGAGGGGTGTGCTAGCTAGTGATTGAACTGTACTAGAAGATGGAGGTTGATCTACAGCATTGCTAAAGATTGTCCAACTAGGTTTTGGTAAAGGTGAAAGCTCCAGAATAAAGACAGGAATTGTTTTAACTGAAAATTGTTGTCTTAACACTTTCATAGTAGGTGTAACTTCTTCTTGAGACTGAATTGGGAGTTTTAATTTGATACTATAAGATATAAGTATTTTCCTTAATTCTGTGATTTCTGTTGGAATCTCAGGAAGAGGTTGTAAAGTGTCAGTTGAGTTTGTTTTACTTTCTGTTTTGCGAGTTGGGATTTGAATCCAGTCGGAGGGTAGCTGAGAGAAGAAGAAATGTTTTCTCAATGTTTTAGCTATGCTAGTTAGCTGTTTAGGAGTGGTAATAGAAAGAGTAATGCTGATATCTAACAACACATTCAACAGCATTTTAGTAACTGGACTGTACTATGCACAATCAACCAGAATATATTTAACTCACACTGGCAAACAGAATACAATTCTAAACTGCATATTCAGCAAGATTGGTACTCAGAAGCACTTACAGACTTCTCCCAAGAGGAGATACTTGCTACTCTTAGCCAGCTACCTAACAACAAAGC